GTCATTCTAGCTCACTTTCAACCCGTTTTCAGCCGATTTTTTCAGTATTTCTAACGCTTTTCAGCCAATTTTAAGCCCATTTCTAAATTTCCGGATTTCTAGGCTACGAAAAAAACTAAAATGGGCTTGAAATTGGCTGTAAAGCGTTAGAAATACTGAAAAAATCGGCTGAAAACGGTCTAAAAGCGAGTTTGAAACTTGGTGGCCTAGAAATCCAAAAATTCGCATTTCTAGGCCATCAGCTTAAAATTCGATTTTGACCAATTTTTGATAATTTTTGGCGCTTTCTTCAGTATTTTGGACCATTTACAGCCAATTTTTCGACTGAAAACTCTCTAAAAATGACTGGAAAGTGTTCCAAATTCACTGAAAATGGCTAAAAATGGTCATTTTCAGTCGATTTCCCGACTGAAAACCCCCCAAAAATTCTGTAATTTTGCAGAGATTTCTTGCCACGTGGCTCGGGTATCGTAACCCGTCGTCCGTTGATCCTCCAATTGATTCAAGATCGCAACGAATACGCCGAGTTTCTGCACAAAAAAGGACATCGATTCGTTGATTTCGATGCGGTTCGAAGGAAATCGAAGATGAGACGGACAGAGTCACCGGTCATAACAAGGGAATCAGTGCGCATCCCATCAATTTGCGCGTTTTCTCACCGAATGGTCAGTTTGGAGCTGGAAAATGAGACGAAATTTGGGGAAAAACGGGTTAAAATAAACCAAAAACTGACCAAAAACGGGTGAAAATGACCCTAAAATGAGCCAGAAATGCCTTAAAATGACCCCAAAATTGACTTTAAAAGGTCCAAAATTTGACTGAAAATGAATCCAAAACGATCGAAATCGACTCTGGACCGACTTTTAGACGTGCGGGCCTTCCAAAATTATGGAAAATGGCTTGAAATGACATCGAAAAATATGCCAAAATGAGTTAAAATGACCCGAAATTAGTTGAAAATTGCGTTAAAATGGCCAAAAAATGTGACAAAACGGTCCCAAATTCGTAGAAAAATCGGCAAAAAATGACCCCAAAATCATGAAAAATGCCTTAATATGACCCTAAAATCAGCCAAAAATCAGCCACAATTTTAGAAAATTGGCTAAAAATGTTTCAAATTGTCCGAAAATGGTCCCAAATTAGTCCGAAAAGTGGGTTAAAATGATCTCGAAATGTGCCAAAAATGGGTTATTCGGCTGAAAATTAGTTTTAGAATGACCTTCGATTCGTGAAAATGACCCACTGGTTGGCTGAAAATAGTCAAAAATAGGCCGGAATTAGTCTGAAATCCTGAAATATGGCTTGAAAATGAGCCGAAATTTTGGGGGAAAACGGGTTAAAATAGACCAAAAACTGACCAAAAACGGATGAAAATGACCCATAAAATGAGCCAGCGATGGCTTAA